GCCTCCGCCTTGATTACCGCAGGCTTCTTTGCTGAAGCTTGCAACGCATCAAAGTGCGCAATGGCCGCCAGCATCCCCGATCCCGGCGTGTCCTCCTTCGGTTGATCCTTCATCTTCCTGCCCTCCGCCTCCAGTTCGGCCAGGTGTCGCTGCTGCAGCGCCTGGCTTTTGCCATCAACCATCCTCCATCCCAGGAGCCGCGGGTCATCCCGCGAGCGCGCGGTGACGGGGAATCTCATGCCGTACACCGACGCCGCCGTGGCTGAATCCATGGCCACAGCGAAAGCGGAAGGAGCGATGTCAACAATCAGCTGAGCCAAGGTGTCTCCAGGCGACTTTTTTGAGGACAATGATGGACTCCATGTGATGAATCTGAGCCCATAGCCGCCACAACCAAGCTATCATGTCGTAAGGATTCGTAAGGTATCTGCAGGATCATAAGAAATCAGAGAAAGTGTCAACTTGGAAGCTTGCAGCTCAGAACAGGCTCTGCCAAGAATTGGTTGGGGCCAAGTCAGGTGACAACAACATGCTGAAGTATCATGAAAATTCATGAAATATGTTGAATACTTGATATCGATGAGAGCAACTCAACGACAATCTTCGGAGCTAGATGACCCAATCCACCCTTGGCCCGAACCTCGCATGTCTTAAACATTCTGACTGGGCGAGTCACACTTCATCCAAAACCATCCAAAACTGATATCACAGGTATCTCTTGGATTTTTTCGTCGAATTCCGGGAAAGCCCCCAAAAACGGTAGGCTTTCCAGGCCGGCCCTCTGCTGCGATTTTTCAGTTCAAAACGTTCCATGACTTGCAGAAGCTGTGGCAAGCCATCAAATCAATCGAGGCTGCAGCCAGTTAGCCGCAGCGTGCATTTGGGGTGCAGCGTGTGAAATACCTATGGTTCTTTTTACACAATTATACACAGCTAGCAATTACATTCCACTTGAAAAATACAAACATCTGCAAGATTCCCAGACATGATATTGTCTCATTGATGCGGGTGAAACTAAATTGCTAGGCGGCGATCACTTTTGGCGCCTGGGGAACGTTGGCTTTGACTATGGACAACTAGCAGGTCACACCACCTTCCCTTGCTGCCACAAGATCCATGGTCCCGACAGAATTAGGTGATGATTAGTGCTTAATGCAGCTGATCACATTCCCCACCCTTTTAAAAATGTCTAGCTGTCCAGCCCTCAACTGCAGGTCACACCAGCAGCCCAACACCTTCCCGGCTGCCTGCCGCAGCAGCCGATCGCGGAGAGAAAGGCCTTGGATCTTTGGGGCTTTCGTTATGAAGCAAGTTTCCAAACATTATCCGACCGGGTCCCAGCCTATTCTCAAGTGACGCCGAAAAGCCCTTTTGACGGAACTAAAATTTAGTTGTTAAATCCTCGCATCCATCGGCAATTTCCGATTGGCACTGTACGCAGTGTCAAGCAAATTGATGTTTCCCAGATCCACAGTTGAAGGACTAGCCGACTAGCCCACCACCAGCTGACCTGGCCCATCCTGACCCTGCCCCTGTCCTGCACAAATTGCGCGATGTCATCCTGAAAGTTCATGGAGATGTTTGGGAAATCTGTGGGTGTCATCACCACCAACCACTTCAGGTTTGACGATTTTGCACTGGTGGTGAAGACTGGGTCACTAGGTGCATTAAACCACAACGATGTCTCATCCGATTGCAGGGGTGAGAAATAATCTTTGTGTCTGCCACGAGTCCAATTTCTTGTGGAACCACTTTACAAAACAAACAGTTGAAAGATGTTGAAAGGCTGTCTCCTCTTTTTTTTTGAAATCATGAACAGGGTCCACCACCTCAAATCGCCATGCGCAACATCCAAGACCCCCTTTTCAAATCTGGCAAGCCTGCGGGGGCTGTTCCTCCTCCCCGTGAGTCTCCGAGGGCTGTTGAAACAGCGATTCTGCCTGCAATGAGCACAGGCAGAAAGCAAAATCCTGAAGATTGTCACACCCTGGGATGAATTATGAAAATATTGATGATCTGGGATGTTTTCTTGCTTCACTCTGACCATTTGCCGCAGCAACACATTCTAATGCATTGTGCTTCAGTGCCACTCAGTGACAACAACTGCGGCAATGATGAGGGAGCAAAATGTCGTTGAACCATGTTGAACCCTTCCACTTCGCAACGCAACTTTTGACTGCCTGGAAAGACTTGTTCAAACACTGCACCTGCCTCGGCAATCACTTCAGACAGCGGCGCGGCTTCAAATTCCACCACCTGCAGAAAGCAAAGCTCAAGGGATTCAAAGGTATTGCATGCAGAATCTCAATGTTTCAATACATGTTTCACTTGCACCAGGTGGCATGTTAAGGTTTCGGGTTCCTTTATGTTCAGCTGGAACTACTGGCTGATGATGGGCATGAGTTATGAGCAAAATACCATGGGGAAAGGTCCAAACTTGAGTCCTTGAGGGTTGGTAAACAAAAGGCCAAGAAAAAAGATGTGGGAGCGGAGAAGGCATAGAAAGCCATGGGCGCTAGCAATGAGAAGGGAGATGCGAAGGGTAGCGTGGCGGAAGGTGGCAAGATGGTAAGAGCAAGGTGGAGTGGAGTGACTAAGTGGGAAGGAGTTGGGTGGATCGCTGGAAGAAATGAATCCATATCAAAGTGTGCATGACAAATTGCGGGTTTGGCAATTGGACTGCTCCACATCCCTTGCTAAAGCAAGAAAAAAACATGAAAAAAATCAAGCTTGCTACCACTAGCTTTCGTGACAAGACATTGTTCAAACATGCTCAAACCCACTGCCTCTGCCTCGACTGGCTCAGGAGGGCCCTGCAATGAGCACAGGCAGAAAGCAAAATCCTGTGGGCTAAATTATGAACTCTGAATGTTTCATTGCTTCACTCTGACCATTTGCCGAAGCAACACATTCTAATGCATTGTGATTCAGTGACACTCATTGACAACAACTGCGGCAATGATGAGGGAGCAAAATGTCGTTGAACCATGTTGAACCCTTCCACTTCGCAACACAACTTACTGCTTGGAAAGACCTTGTTCAAACACTGCACCTGCCTCGGCAATCACTTCAGAAAGTGGCAACACCTGCCGGAAGCCAAGCTCTAAGGATTTCAAGGTATGGCATTCAGAAATTCAATGTTTCAACATATTTCAACATGTTTCAATGTATGTTTCACTTGCACCAGATGGCATGTTAAGGTTTCGGGTTCCTTTATGTTCAGCTGGAACTACTGGTTGATGATGGGCATGAGTTATGAGCAAAATACCATGGGGAAAGGTCCAAACTTGAGTCCTTGAGGGTTGGTAAACGAAAGGCCAAGACAAAAGATGTGGGAGCGGAGAAGGCATAGAAAGCCACGGGCGCTAGCAATGAGAAGGGAGATGCGAAGGGTAGCGTGGAGGAAGGTGGCAAGATGGTAAGAGCAAGGTGGAGTGGAGTGACTAAGTGGGAAGGAGTTGGGTGGATCGCTGGAAGAAATGAATCCATATCAAAATGTGCATGACAAATTGCCGGTTTGGCAATTGGACTGCTCCACATCCCTTGCTAAAGCAAAAAAAAACATGAAAACAAGATGCAGCCCACGAACCCGAATGCTCACACGTATGTTAATGGTACAGATGTGGAAACACATGGACATGCAGTCACGCAGAACACTTTTCTGCAATAGTTTATTGGAACAGGCTTGTACATATTTCCCCTATTACCAGTCTGCGGTGTGGAGTGGAAAGTGTAGAGTGTGGAGTGTAGAGTGTAAAGTAAGGAGTGTGGAGTATAAAGTGTGGAGTGGGGAGTGTGGAGCATGTAAAGTGTAGAGTCTAGAGTGTGGAGTGTAGAGTGTAAAGTGTGGAGTGTGGAGTTTAAAGTGTAGAGTGTGGAGTGTGGAGTGCGGAGTGTAGAGTGTGGAGTGTGGCGTGTAGAGTGTAAAGTGTGGAGTGAGGAGTGTAAAGTGTGGAGTGTGGAGTGTGGAGTGTGCAGTGTAGAGTGTGGAGTGTGGAGTGTGGAGTGTGGAGTGTGGAGTGTGGAGTGTGGAGTGGAAAGTGTAGAGTGTGGAGTGTGGAGTGTGGAGTGTGGAGTGTAAAGTGAGGAGTGTGAAGTGTAAAGTGTGGAGTGAGGAGTGTGGAGTGTAAAGTCTCAGGTAAGGTGTGAGGAGTGTAAAGTGCAAAGTGTAAAGTGTGGAGTGTAAAGTGTACAGTGTGGAGTCTAAAGTGTAAATTGTGGAGTGCGGAGTGTAAAGTGTAGAGTGTGGAGTGCAGAGCTTCCCCCATAGACACGGCGACGCCACAGGAAAACGAGAGACTCGAGACGAGACACGTGGGAGCACCAAAACGAGCATTTCCTACGAGATTTCCTCCAATTTTGACATTTTCAACACATTATCAAACAAGTTTGGAATGTCACAAAGTGCCACGCCTGCCACGCAAAACGACATGACAACCTGCTTGGACACATTCGAATAGGACATGTTTTCCAGCTTCCCCCATAGACACGGCGACGCCACAGGAAAACGAGAGACTCGAGACGAGACACGTGGGAGCACCAAAACGAGCATTGCCTACGAGATTTCCTCCAATTTTGAAATTTTGTGAACATCATCAAACAGGTTGGAATGTCAGAAAGTACCACGTCTGCCACGCAAAACAACATGACAACCTGCTTGGAAACATTCGAAAAGGACAGGTTTTCCAGCTTCCCCCATAGACACGGCGACGCCACAGGAAAACCAGCGACTCGAGACAAGACACGTGGATGCAGAAAAACCAGCATTTCGTACGAGACCTCCTCCAATTTTCACACTTTGTAGCTTCAAAATCGACGTTTTCCTAGGAGTTTTCCTTAGAACCTGAAAATTTGCAACCTCAAAATCCATGTTTCGTGCGAGGCTTCCGTCAATTTTCAGCACATCGTACAAAATGCCACGACTGCCACGGAATTTGCACCTTGTCGCCACTGACGCACCCCTCCAATGCGATTTGCAAAAAACACGCAACACGACACGTCTAAAGTGCTGCGCCTGCCACGAAAAATGACGATGGACACGTCCAAAGTGCTGCGCCTGCCACGAAAACTGCAACGCATCTTCTGAAAACGTCGCAAAAGTATTGCGCCTGCCAGGCAAAACGACTTTTGACACGTTCCAGAACACGTCTGAATGTCACGAAGTGCCACGCCTGCCACGCGAAACGAAGCAACGACACGTCTGAAACCTCCAAAAAGGACCACCTCTGCAAAACTTCCCATAGGCACGGCCATACGGGGATTGCGGACGGTTGCGAACGGTTGCGACCACAAACGCAACGTCGAGCGAACACACCCTCAACTCCCAGACCCCCAGAGTGAAACGGGAACCCTTGCTACGCATTCGGGAAAAATCAGGCTTGCTACCACTAGCTTTCGTGACAAGACATTGTTCAAACCCACTGCCTCTGCCTCGACTGGCTCAGGAGGGCCCTGCAATGAGCACAGGCAGAAAGCAAAATCCTGTGTGCTAAATTATGAAATCTTAATGTTTCATTGCTTCACTCTGACCATTTGCCGCAGCAACACATTCTAATGCATTGTGCTTCAGTGACACTCAGTGACAACAACTGCGGCAATGATGAGGGAGCAAAATGTCGTTGAACCATGTTGAACCATGTTGAACCCTTCCACTTCGCAACACAACTTTTGACTGCTTGGAAAGACCTTGTTCAAACACTGCCTGCCTCGGCAATCACTTCAGAAAGTGGCAACACCTGCCGGAAGCCAAGCTCTAAGGATTTCAAGGTATGGCATTCAGAAATTCAATGTTTCAACATGTTTCAATGATTTTCAATGATTTTCAATGTATGTTTCACTTGCACCAGGTGGCATGTTAAGGTTTCGGGTTCCTTTATGTTCAGCTGGAACTACTGGCTGATGATGGGCATGAGTTATGAGCAAAATACCATGGGGAAAGGTCCAAACTTGAGTCCTTGAGGGTTGGTAAACGAAAGGCCAAGAAAAAAGATGTGGGAGCGGAGAAGGCATAGAAAGCCATGGGCGCTAGCAATGAGAAGGGAGATGCGAAGGGTAACGTGGAGGAAGGTGGCAAGATGGTCAGAGCGAGGTGGAGTGGAGTGACTAAGTGGGAAGGAGTTGGGTGGATCGCTGGAAGAAATGAATTGGACTGCTCCACATCCCTTGCTAAAGCAAGAAAAAAACATGAAACAAATCAAGCTTGCTACCACTAGCTTTCGTGACAAGACATTGTTCAAACCCACTGCCTCTGCCTCGACTGGCTCAGGAGGGCCCTGCAATGAGCACAGGCAGAAAGTAAAATCCTGTGGGCTAAATTATGAAATCTTAATGTTTCATTGCTTCACTGTGACCATTTGCCGCAGCAACACCTCCAGTGCATTGTGCTTCAGTGACACTCAGTGACAACAACTGCGGCAATGATCAGGGAGTAAAATGTCGTTGAACCATGTTGAACCATGTTGAACCATGTTGAACCCTTCCACTTCGCAACACAACTTTTGACTGCTTGGAAAGACCTTGCCCAAACACTGCACCTGCCTCGGCAATCACTTCAGAAAGTGGCAACACCTGCCGGAAGCCAAGCTCTAAGGATTCCAAGGTATGGCATTCAGAAATTCAATGTTTCAACATATTTCAATGATTTTCAATGTATGTTTCACTTGCACCAGGTGGCATGTTAAGGTTTCGGGTTCCTTTATGTTCAGCTGGAACTACTGGTTGATGATGGGCATGAGTTATGAGCAAAATACCATGGGGAAAGGTCCAAACTTGAGCCCTTGAGGGTTGGTAAACAAAAGGCCAAGAAAAAAAGATGTGGGAGCGGAGAAGGCATAGAAAGCCATGGGCGCTAGCAATGAGAAGGGAGATGCGAAGGGTAGCGTGGAGGAAGGTGGCAAGATGGTCAGAGCAAGGTGGAGTGGAGTGACTAAGCGGGAAGGAGTTGGGTGGATCACTGGAAGAAATGAATCCATATCAAAGTGTGCATGACAAATTGCGGGTTTGGCACTTGGACTGCTCCACATCCCTTGCGAAAGCAAGGCAGAAAGATCAAAAAATCAAGCTCGCTATCACTAGCTTTTGTGACAAGACATTGTTCAAACCCACTGCCTCTGCCTCGACTGGCTCAGGAGGGCCCTGCAATGAGCACAGGCAGAAAGCAAAATCCTGTGTGCTAAATTATGAAATCTTAATCTTAATGTTTCATTGCTTCACTCGGACCATTTCCCGCATCAACACCTCCAATGCATTGTGCTTCAGTGACACTCAGTGACAAAAACTCTGGCAATGATGAGGGAGTAAAATGTCGTTGAACCATGTTGAACCATGTTGAACCCTTCCACTTCGCAACACAACTTTTGACTGCTTGGAAAGACCTTGTTCAAACACTGCACCCGCCTCGGCAACTTCAGCCCCAGGTGACGCTTCAAATTCCGCCACCTGCAGAAAGAAAGAAAGTGCTTGAAGGATCCGAAGGTATTGCAATGCCAAAACTTGACATTTCGCGATGACCATGCACTGCATCAACGCCTACCAGGCCTACCACCTTTTTCGGGTAGTTTTTTTCAAATTTGTTTTGATGAGGATGAAACTCCCGCCACATGGTACTGGATGTACTGGTACTAGGCCACTTTGAGACCCAATCATGACTGATCCCAACAAGATCTTTCTCAAATCCACTCTCTCCCCGCTTCCGCCTTGATCACAGGTTTCTTTGCTGCTTGCAACGCATCAAAGTGCGCAATGGCCGCCAGCATCCCCGATCCCGGCGTGTCCTCCTTCGGTTGATCCTTCATCTTCCTGCCCTCCGCCTCCAGTTCGGCCAGGTGTCGCTGCTGCAGCGCCTGGCTTTTGCCATCAACCATCCTCCATCCCAGGAGCCGCGGGTCATCCCGCGAGCGTGCGGTGACGGGGAATCTCATGCCGTACACCGACGCCGCCGTGGCTGAATCCATGGCAGCGATTCAGCTGGAGCGATATCAACAATCAGCTGAGCCAAGGTGTCTCCAGGCGACTGAGGACAATGATGGACTCCATGTGACGAATCTGAGCCCATAGCCGCTATAGCCCATAGCCACAACCAAGCTATCATGTCGTAAGGATTCGTAAGGTATCTGCAGGATCATAAGAAATCAGAGAAAGTGTCAACTTGGAAGCTTGCAGCTCAGAACAGGCTCTGCCAAGAATTGGTTGGGGCCAAGTCAGGTGACAACAACATGCTGAAGTATCATGAAAATTCATGAAATATGTTGAATACTTGATATCGATGAGAGCGACTCAACGGCAATCTTCGGAGCTAAATGACCCAATCCACCCTTGGCCCGAACATGCCCGAACCTCGCATGTCTTGAACATTCTGACTGGGCGAGTCACACTTCATCCAAAACCATCTCCAAAACTGATATCACAGGTATCCCCCGGAATCTTTACGTCAAATTCCGGGAAAGCCCCCAAAAACGGTAGGCTTTCCAGGCCGGCCCTCTGCTGCGATTTTTCAGTTCAAAACGTTCCATGACTTGCAGAAGCTGTGGCAAGCCATCAAATCAATCGAGGCTGCAGCCAGTTAGCCGCAGCGTGCATTTGGGGTGCAGCGTGTGAAATACCTATGGTTCTTTTTACACAATTATACACAGCTAGCAGTTACATTCCACTTGAAAAATACAAACATCTGCAAGATTTCTAGACATGATATTGTCTCATTGATGCGGGTGAAACTAAATTGCTAGGCGGCGGTCACTTTTGGCGCCTGGGGAACATTGGCTTTGACCATGGACAACTAGCAGGTCACACCACCTTCCCTTGCTGCCACAAGATCCATGGCCTTCCCGACAGAATTAGGTGATGATTAGTGCTTAATGCAGCTGATCACATTCCCCACCCTTTTAAAAATGTCTAGCTGTCCAGCCCTCAACTGCAGGTCACACCAGCAGCCCAACACCTTCCCGGCTGCTGCCTGCCGCAGCAGCCGATCGCGGAGAGAAAGGCCTTGGATCTTTGGGGCTTTTGTTATGAAGCAAGTTTCCAAACATTATCCGACCGGGTCCCAGCCTATTCTCAAGTGACGCCGAAAAGCCCTTTTGACGGAACTAAAATTTAGTTGCTAAATCATGCTAAATCCTCACATCCATCGGCAATTTCCGATTGGCACTGCACGCAGTGTCAAGCGAATTGATGTTTCCCAGATCCACAGTTGAAGGACTAGCCGACTAGCCCACCACCAGCTGACCTGGCCCATCCTGACCCTGCCCCCGTCCTGCACAAATTGCGCGATGTCATCCTGAAATTTCATGAGATGTTTGGGAAATCTGTGGGTGTCATCACCACCAACCACTTCAGGTTTGACAATTTTGCACTGGTGAAGACTGGGTCACTAGGTGCATTATGACAACGATGTCTCATCCGATGGGGTGAGAAATAATCTAAAAGTGTCTGCCCTGAGTCCAATTTCTTGTGGAAAGATGTTGAAAGGCTGTCTCCTCTCTTTTTTTTTTGAAATCATGAACAGGGTCCAGGGTGGTGGGACCCTCAAATCGCCATGCGCAACATCCAAGACCCCCTTTTCAAATCTGGCAAGCCTGCGGGGGCTGTTCCTCCTCCCCGTGAGTCTCCGAGGGCTGTTGAAACAGCGATTCTGCCTGCAATGAGCACAGGCAGAAAGCAAAATCCTGAAGATTGTCACACCCTGGGATGAATTATGAAAATATTGATGATCTGGGATGTTTTCTTGCTTCACTCTGACCATTTGCCGCAGCAACACATTCTAATGCATTGTGCTTCAGTGCCACTCAGTGACAACAACTGCGGCAATGATGAGGGAGCAAAATGTCGTTGAACCATGTTGAACCCTTCCACTTCGCAACGCAACTTTTGACTGCTTGGAAAGACTTGTTCAAACACTGCACCTGCCTCGGCAATCACTTCAGACAGCGGTGCGGCTTCAAATTCCACCACCTGCAGAAAGCAAAGCTCAAGGGATTCAAAGGTATTGCATGCAGAATCTCAATGTTTCAATATATGTTTCACTTGCACCAGGTGGCATATTGCGGTTTCCGGTTCCTTTATGTTCAGCTGGAACTACTGGTTGATGATGGGCATGAGTTATGAGCAAAATACCATGGGGAAAGGTCCAAACTTGAGTCCTTGAGGGTTGGTACACAAAAGGCCAAGAAAAAAAAGATGTGGGAGCGGAGAAGGCATAGAAAGCCATGGGCGCTAGCAATGAGAAGGGAGATGCGAAGGGTAGCGTGGAGGAAGGTGGCAAGATGGTCAGAGCAAGGTGGAGTGGAGTGACTAAGTGGGAAGGAGTTGGGTGGATCGCTGGAAGAAATGAATCCATATCAAAGTGTGCATGGCAAATTGCAGGTTTGGCACTTGGACTGCTCCACATCCCTTGCGAAAGCAAGGCAAAAAGATGAAAAAAATCAAGCTCGCTATCACTAGCTTTTGTGACAAGACATTGTTCAAACCCACTGCCTCTGCCTCGACTGGCTCAGGAGGGCCCTGCAATGAGCACAGGCAGAAAGCAAAATCCTGTAGGCTAAATTATGAAATCTTAATGTTTCATTGCTTCACTCTGACCATTTGCCGCAGCAACACATTCTAATGCATTGTCCTTCAGTGACACTCAGTGACAACAACTGCGGCAATGATGAGGGAGCAAAATGTCGTTGAACCATGTTGAACCCTTCCACTTTGCAACACAACTTGTGACTGCTTGGAAAGACCTTGTTCAAACACTGCACCTGCCTCGGCAATCACTTCAGAAAGTGGCAACACCTGCCGGAAGCCAAGCTCTAAGGATTTCAAGGTATGGCATTCAGAAATTCAATGTTTCAACATGTTTCAATGATTTTCAATGTATGTTTCGCTTGCACCAGGTGGCATGTTGAGGTTTCGGGTTCCTTTATGTTCAGCTGGAACTACTGGTTGATGATGGGCATGAGTTATGAGCAAAATACCATGGGGAAAGGTCCAAACTTGAGTCCTTGAGGGTTGATAAACAAAAAGCCAAGAAAAAAGATGTGGGAGCGGAGAAGGCATAGAAAGCCATGGGCGCTAGCAATGAGAAGGGAGATGTGAAGGGTAGCGTGGAGGAAGGTGGCAAGATGGTCAGAGCAAGGTGGAGTGGAGTGACTAAGTGGGAAGGAGTTGGGTGGATCGCTGGAAGAAATGAATCCACATCAAAGTGTGCATGACAAATTGCGGGTTTGGCACTTGGACTGCTCCACATCCCTTGCTAAAGCAAGAAAAAAACATGAAAAAAATCAAGCTTGCTACCACTAGCTTTCGTGACAAGACATTGTTCAAACATGCTCAAACCCACTGCCTCTGCCTCGACTGGCTCAGGAGGGCCCTGCAATGAGCACAGGCAGAAAGCAAAATCCTGTGTGCTAAATTATGAAATCTTAATGTTTCATTGCTTCACTCTGACCATTTGCCGCAGCAACACATTCTAATGTATTGTGCTTCAGTGACACTCAGTGACAACAACTGCGGCAATGATGAGGGAGCAAAATGTCGTTGAACCATGTTGAACCCTTCCACTTCGCAACACAACTTTTGACTGCTTGGAAAGACCTTGTTCAAACACTGCACCTGCCTCGGCAATCACTTCAGAAAGTGGCAACACCTGCCGGAAGCCAAGCTCTAAGGATTTCAAGGTATGGCATTCAGAAATTCACTGTTTCAACATGTTTCAATGATTTTCAATTATTTTCAATGATTTTCAATGATTTTCAATGTATGTTTCACTTGCACCAGGTGGCATGTTAAGGTTTCGGGTTCCTTTATGTTCAGCTGGAACTACTGGCTGATGATGGGCATGAGTTATGAGCAAAATACCATGGGGAAAGGTCCAAACTTGAGTCCTTGAGGGTTGGTAAACGAAAGGCCAAGAAAAAAGATGTGGGAGCGGAGAAGGCATAGAAAGCCATGGGCGCTAGCAATGAGAAGGAGATGCGAAGGGTAACGTGGAGGAAGGTGGCAAGATTCAGAGCGAGGTGGAGTGGAGTGACTAAGTGGGAAGGAGTTGGGTGGATCGCTGGAAGAAATGAATCCATATCAAAGTGTGCATGACAAATTGCGGGTTTGGCAATTGGACTGCTCCACATCCCTTGCTAAAGCAAAAAAAACATGAAAACAAGATGCAGCCCACGAACCCGAATGCTCACACGTATGTTAATGGTACAGGTGTGGAAACACATGGACATGCAGTCACGCAGAACACTTTTCTGCAATAGTTTATTGGAACAGGCTTGTACATATTTCCCCTATTACCAGTCTGCGGTGTGGAGTGGGAAGTGTAGAGTGTGGAGTGTAGAGTGTAAAGTAAGGAGTGTGGAGTATAAAGTGTGGAGTGGGGAGTGTGGAGCATGTAAAGTGTAGAGTCTAGAGTGTGGAGTGTAGAGTGTAAAGTGTGGAGTGTGGAGTGTGGAGTTTAAAGTGTAGAGTGTGGAGTGTGGAGTGCGGAGTGTAGAGTGTGGAGTGTGGCGTGTAGAGTGTAAAGTGTGGAGTGAGGAGTGTAAAGTGTGGAGTGTGGAGTGTGGAGTGTGCAGTGTAGAGTGTGGAGTGTGGAGTGTGGAGTGGAAAGTGTAGAGTGTGGAGTGTGGAGTGTAAAGTGTAAAGTGAGGAGTGTGAAGTGTAAAGTGTGGAGTGAGGAGTGTGGAGTGTAGAGTGTAAAGTGTAGAGTGTGGAGTGTAAAGTCTCAGGTAAGGTGTGAGGAGTGTAAAGTGCAAAGTGTAAAGTGTGGAGTGTAAAGTGTACAGTGTGGAGTCTAAAGTGTAAATTGTGGAGTGCGGAGTGTAAAGTGTAGAGTGTGGAGTGCAGAGCTTCCCCCATAGACACGGAGACGCCACAGGAAAACGAGAGACTCGAGACGAGACACGTGGGAGCACCAAAACGAGCATTTCCGACGAGATTTCCTCCAATTTTGACATTTTCAACACATTATCAAACAAGTTTGGAATGTCACAAAGTGCCACGCCTGCCACGCAAAACGACATGACAACCTGCTTGGACACATTCGAATAGGACATGTTTTCCAGCTTCCCCCATAGACACGGCGACGCCACAGGAAAACCAGCGACTCGAGATAAGACACGTGGGAGCACCAAAACGAGCATTTCCTACGAGATTTCCTCCAATTTTGAAATTTTGTGAACATCATCAAACAGGTTGGAATGTCAGAAAGTACCACGCCTGCCACGCAAAACAACATGACAACCTGCTTGGAAACATTCGAAAAGGACAGGTTTTCCAGCTTCCCCCATAGACACGGCGACGCCACAGGAAAACCAGCGACTCGAGACAAGACACGTGGATGCAGAAAAACCAGCATTTCGTACGAGATTTCCTCCAATTTTCACACTTTGTAGCTTCAAAATCGACGTTTTCCTAGGAGTTTTCCTTAGAACCTGAAAATTTGCAACCTCAAAATCCATGTTTCGTGCGAGGCTTCCGTCAATTTTCAGCACATCGTACAAAATGCCACGACTGCCACGGAATTTGCACCTTGTCGCCACTGACGCACCCCTCCAATGCGATTTGCAAAAAACACGCAACACGACACGTCTAAAGTGCTGCGCTTGCCACGAAAAATGACGATGGACACGTCCAAAGTGCTGCGCCTGCCACGAAAACTGCAACACATCTTCTGAAAACGTCGCAAAAGTATTGCGCCTGCCATGCAAAACGACTTTCGACACGTTCCAGAACACGTCTGAATGTCACGAAGTGCCACGCCTGCCACGCGAAACGAAGCAACGACACGTCTGAAACCTCCAAAAAGGACCACCTCTGCAAAACTTCCCATAGGCACGGCCATACGGGGATCGCGCGGACGGTTGCGAACGGTTGCGAACGGTTGCGGACGGTTGCGGACGGTTGCGGACGGTTGCGAACGGTTGCGACCACAAACGCAACGTCGAGCGAACACACCCTCAACCCCCAGACCCCCAGAGTGAAACGGGAACCCTTGCTACGCATTCGGGAAAAATCAGGCTTGCTACCACTAGCTTTCGTGACAAGACATTGTTCAAACCCACTGCCTCTGCCTCGACTGGCTCAGGAGGGCCCTGCAATGAGCACAGGCAAAAAGCAAAATCCTGTGGGCTAAATTATGAAATCTTAATGTTTCATTGCTTCACTCTGACCATTTGCCGCAGCAACACATTCTAATGCATTGTGATTCAGTGACACTCATTGACAACAACTGCGGCAATGATGAGGGAGCAAAATGTCGTTGAACCATGTTGAACCATGTTGAACCCTTCCACTTCGCAACACAACTTTTGACTGCTTGGAAAGACCTTGTTCAAACACTGCCTGCCTCGGCAATCACTTCAGAAAGTGGCAACACCTGCCGGAAGCCAAGCTCTAAGGATTCCAAGGTATGGCATTCAGAAATTCAATGTTTCAACATATTTCAATGATTTTCAACGTATGTTTCACTTGCACCAGGTGGCATGTTAAGGTTTCGGGTTCCTTTATGTTCAGCTGGAACTACTGGTTGATGATGGGCATGAGTTATGAGCAAAATACCATGGGGAAAGGTCCAAACTTGAGTCCTTGAGGGTTGGTAAACGAAAGGCCAAGACAAAAGATGTGGGAGCGGAGAAGGCATAGAAAGCCATGGGCGCTAGCAATGAGAAGGGAGATGCGAAGGGTAGCGTGGAGGAAGGTGGCAAGATGGTCAGAGCAAGGTGGAGTGGAGTGACTAAGTGGGAAGGAGTTGGGTGGATCACTGGAAGAAATGAATCCATATCAAAGTGTTCATGACAAATTGCGGGTTTGGCACTTGGACTGCTCCACATCCCTTGCGAAAGCAAGGCAAAAAGATGAAAAAAATCAAGCTCGCTATCACTAGCTTTTGTGACAAGACATTGTTCAAAACCACTGCCTCTGCCTCGACTGGCTCAGGAGGGCCCTGCAATGAACACAGGCAGAAAGCAAAATCCTGTGTGCTAAACTATGAAATCTTAATGTTTCATTGCTTCACTGTGACCATTTGCCGCATCAACACCTCCAGTGCATTGTGCTTCAGTGACACTCAGTGACAATAACTGCGGCAATGATGAGGGGGCAAAATGTCGTTGAACCATGTTGAACCATGTTGAACCCTTCCACTTCGCAACACAACTTTTGACTGCTTGGAAAGACCTTGTTCAAACACTGCACCTGCCTCGGCAATCACTTCAGAAAGTGGCAACACCTGCCAGAAGCCAAGCTCCAACGATTCCAAGGTATGGCATTCAGAAATTCAATGTTTCAACAAATTTCAACATGTTTCAATGTATGTTTCACTTGCACCAGATGGCATGTTAAGGTTTCGGGTTCCTTTATGTTCAGCTGGAACTACTGGTTGATGATGGGCATGAGTTATGAGCAAAATACCATGGGGAAAGGTCCAAAATTGAGTCCTTGAGGGTTGGTAAACAAAAGGCCAAGACAAAAGATGTGGGAGCGGAGAAGGCATAGAAAGCCATGGGCGCTAGCAATGAGAAGGGAGATGCGAAGGGTAGCGTGGAGGAAGGTGGCAAGATGGTCAGAGCAAGGTGGAGTGGAGTGACTAAGCGGGAAGGAGTTGGGTGGATCACTGGAAGAAATGAATCCATATCAAAGTGTGCATGACAAATTGCGGGTTTGGCACTTGGACTGCTCCACATCCCTTGCGAAAGCAAGGCAGAAAGATCAAAAAATCAAGCTCGCTATCACTAGCTTTTGTGACAAGACATTGTTCAAACCCACTGCCTCTGCCTCGACTGGCTCAGGAGGGCCCTGCAATGAGCACAGGCAGAAAGCAAAATCCTGTGTGCTAAATTATGAAATCTTAATCTTAATGTTTCATTGCTTCACTCTGACCATTTCCCGCATCAACACCTCCAATGCATTGTGCTTCAGTGACACTCAGTGACAAAAACTCTGGCAATGATGAGGGAGTAAAATGTCGTTGAACCATGTTGAACCATGTTGAACCATGTTGAACCATGTTGAACCATGTTGAACCCTTCCACTTCGCAACACAACTTTTGACTGCTTGGAAAGACCTTGTTCAAACACTGCACCTGCCTCGGCAACTTCAGCCCCAGGTGACGCTTCAAATTCCGCCACCTGCAGAAAGAAAGAAAGTGCTTGAAGGATCCGAAGGTATTGCAATGCCAAAACTTGACATTTCGCGATGACCATGCACTGCATCAACGCCTACCAGGCCTACCACCTTTTTCGGGTAGTTTTTTTCAAATTTGTTTTGATGAGGATGAAACTCCCGCCACATGGTACTGGATGTACTGGTACTAGGCCACTTTGAGACCCAATCATGACTGATCCCAACAAGATCTTTCTCAAATCCACTCTCTCCCCGCCTCCGCCTTGATCACAGGTTTCTTTGCTGCTTGCAACGCATCAAAGTGCGCAATGGCCGCCAGCATCCCCGATCCCGGCGTGTCCTCCTTCGGTTGGTCCTTCATCTTCCTGCCCTCCGCCTCCAGTTCGGCCAGGTGTCGCTGCTGCAGCGCCTGGCTTTTGCCATCAACCATCCTCCATCCCAGGAGCCGCGGGTCATCCCGCGAGCGTGCGGTGACGGGGAATCTCATGCCGTACACCGACGCCGCCGTGGCTGAATCCATGGCAGCGATTCAGCTGGAGCGATGTCAACAATCAGCTGAGCCAAGGTGTCTCCAGGCGACTGAGGACAATGATGGACAATGTGATGAATCTGAGCCCATAGCCGCTATAGCCCATAGCCACAACCAAGCTATCATGTCGTAAGGATTCGTAAGGTATCTGCAGGATCATAAGAAATCAGAGAAATTGTCAACTTGGAAGCTTGCAGCTCAGAACAGGCTCTGCCAAGAATTGGTTGGGGCCAAGTCAGGTGACAACAACATGCTGAAGTATCATGAAAATTCATGAAATATGTTGAATACTTGATATCGATGAGAGCGACTCAACGGCAATCTTCGGAGCTAAATGACCCAATCCACCCTTGGCCCGAACATGCCCGAACCTCGCATGTCTTGAACATTCTGACTGGGCGAGTCACACTTCATCCAAAACCATCCAAAACTGATATCACAGGTATCTCTTGGAATTTTTACGTCAAATTCCGGGAAAGCCCCCAAAAACGGTAGGCTTTCCAGGCCGGCCCTCTGCTGCGATTTTTCAATTCAAAACGTTCCATGACTTGCAGAAGCTGTGGCAAGCCATCAAATCAATCGAGGCTGCAGCCAGTTAGCCGCAGCGTGCATTTGGGGTGCAGCGTGTGAAATACCTATGGTTCTTTTTACACAATTATACACAGCTAGCAATTACATTCCACTTGAAAAATACAAACATCTGCAAGATTCCCAGACATGATATTGTCTCATTGATGCGGGTGAAACTAAATTGCTAGGCGGCGATCACTTTTGGCGCCTGGGGAACGTTGGCTTTGACTATGGACAACTAGCAGGTCACACCACCTTCCCTTGCTGCCACAAGATCCATGGTCCCGACAGAATTAGGTGATGATTAGTGCTTAATGCAGCTGATCACATTCCCCACCCTTTTAAAAATGTCTAGCTGTCCAGCCCTCAACTGCAGGTCACACCAGCAGCCCAACACCTTCCCGGCTGCCTGCCGCAGCAGCCGATCGCGGAGAGAAAGGCCTTGGATCTTTGGGGCTTTCGTTATGAAGCAAGTTTCCAAACATTATCCGACCGGGTCCCAGCCTATTCTCAAGTGACGCCGAAAAGCCCTTTTGACGGAACTAAAATTTAGTTGTTAAATCCTCGCATCCATCGGCAATTTCCGATTGGCACTGTACGCAGTGTCAAGCAAATTGATGTTTCCCAGATCCACAGTTGAAGGACTAGCCGACTAGCCCACCACCAGCTGACCTGGCCCATCCTGACCCTGCCCCTGTCCTGCACAAATTGCGTGATGTCATCCTGAAAGTTCATGGAGATGTTTGGGAAATCTGTGGGTGTCATCACCACCAACCACTTCAGGTTTGACAATTTTGCACTGGTGGTGAAGACTGGGTCACTAGGTGCATTAAACCACAACGATGTCTCATCCGATTGCAGGGGTGAGAAATAATCTTTGTGTCTGCCACGAGTCCAATTTCTTGTGGAACCACTTTACAAAACAAACAGTTGAAAGATGTTGAAAGGCTGTCTCCTCTTTTTTTTGAAATCATGAACAGGGTCCACCACCTCAAATCGCCATGCGCAACATCCAAGACCCCCTTTTCAAATCTGGCAAGCCTGCGGGGGCTGTTCCTCCTCCCCGTGAGTCTCCGAGGGCTGTTGAAACAGCGATTCTGCCTGCAATGAGCACAGGCAGAAAGCAAAATCCTGAAGATTGTCACACCCTGGGATGAATTATGAAAATATTGATGATCTGGGATGTTTTCTTGCTTCACTCTGACCATTTGCCGCAGCAACACATTCTAATGCATTGTGCTTCAGTGCCACTCAGTGACAACAACTGCGGCAATGATGAGGGAGCAAAATGTCGTTGAACCATGTTGAACCCTTCCACTTCGCAACGCAACTTTTGACTGCTTGGAAAGACTTGTTCAAACACTGCACCTGCCTCGGCAATCACTTCAGACAGCGGTGCGGCTTCAAATTCCACCACCTGCAGAAAGCAAAGCTCAAGGGATTCAAAGGTATTGCATGCAGAATCTCAATGTTTCAATATATGTTTCACTTGCACCAGGTGGCATATTGCGGTTTCCGGTTCCTTTATGTTCAGCTGGAACTACTGGTTGATGATGGGCATGAGTTATGAGCAAAATACCATGGGGAAAGGTCCAAACTTGAGTCCTTGAGGGTTGGTACACAAAAGGCCAAGAAAAAAAAGATGTGGGAGCGGAGAAGGCATAGAAAGCCATGGGCGCTAGCAATGAGAAGGGAGATGCGAAGGGTAGCGTGGAGGAAGGTGGCAAGATGGTCAGAGCAAGGTGGAGTGGAGTGACTAAGTGGGAAGGAGTTGGGTGGATCGCTGGAAGAAATGAATCCATATCAAAGTGTGCATGGCAAATTGCAGGTTTGGCACTTGGACTGCTCCACATCCCTTGCGAAAGCAAGGCAAAAAGATGAAAAAAATCAAGCTCGCTATCACTAGCTTTTGTGACAAGACATTGTTCAAACCCACTGCCTCTGCCTCGACTGGCTCAGGAGGGCCCTGCAATGAGCACAGGCAGAAAGCAAAATCCTGTAGGCTAAATTATGAAATCTTAATGTTTCATTGCTTCACTCTGACCATTTGCCGCAGCAACACATTCTAATGCATTGTCCTTCAGTGACACTCAGTGACAACAACTGCGGCAATGATGAGGGAGCAAAATGTCGTTGAACCATGTTGAACCCTTCCACTTTGCAACACAACTTGTGACTGCTTGGAAAGACCTTGTTCAAACACTGCACCTGCCTCGGCAATCACTTCAGAAAGTGGCAACACCTGCCGGAAGCCAAGCTCTAAGGATTTCAAGGTATGGCATTCAGAAATTCAATGTTTCAACATGTTTCAATGATTTTCAATGTATGTTTCGCTTGCACCAGGTGGCATGTTGAGGTTTCGGGTTCCTTTATGTTCAGCTGGAACTACTGGTTGATGATGGGCATGAGTTATGAGCAAAATACCATGGGGAAAGGTCCAAACTTGAGTCCTTGAGGGTTGATAAACAAAAAGCCAAGAAAAAAGATGTGGGAGCGGAGAAGGCATAGAAAGCCATGGGCGCTAGCAATGAGAAGGGAGATGTGAAGGGTAGCGTGGAGGAAGGTGGCAAGATGGTCAGAGCAAGGTGGAGTGGAGTGACTAAGTGGGAAGGAGTTGGGTGGATCGCTGGAAGAAATGAATCCACATCAAAGTGTGCATGACAAATTGCGGGTTTGGCACTTGGACTGCTCCACATCCCTTGCTAAAGCAAGAAAAAAACATGAAAAAAATCAAGCTTGCTACCACTAGCTTTCGTGACAAGACATTGTTCAAACATGCTCAAACCCACTGCCTCTGCCTCGACTGGCTCAGGAGGGCCCTGCAATGAGCACAGGCAGAAAGCAAAATCCTGTGTGCTAAATTATGAAATCTTAATGTTTCATTGCTTCACTCTGACCATTTGCCGCAGCAACACATTCTAATGTATTGTGCTTCAGTGACACTCAGTGACAACAACTGCGGCAATGATGAGGGAGCAAAATGTCGTTGAACCATGTTGAACCCTTCCACTTCGCAACACAACTTTTGACTGCTTGGAAAGACCTTGTTCAAACACTGCACCTGCCTCGGCAATCACTTCAGAAAGTGGCAACACCTGCCGGAAGCCAAGCTCTAAGGATTTCAAGGTATGGCATTCAGAAATTCACTGTTTCAACATGTTTCAATGATTTTCAATTATTTTCAATGATTTTCAATGATTTTCAATGTATGTTTCACTTGCACCAGGTGGCATGTTAAGGTTTCGGGTTCCTTTATGTTCAGCTGGAACTACTGGCTGATGATGGGCATGAGTTATGAGCAAAATACCATGGGGAAAGGTCCAAACTTGAGTCCTTGAGGGTTGGTAAACGAAAGGCCAAGAAAAAAGATGTGGGAGCGGAGAAGGCATAGAAAGCCATGGGCGCTAGCAATGAGAAGGAGATGCGAAGGGTAACGTGGAGGAAGGTGGCAAGATTCAGAGCGAGGTGGAGTGGAGTGACTAAGTGGGAAGGAGTTGGGTGGATCGCTGGAAGAAATGAATCCATATCAAAGTGTGCATGACAAATTGCGGGTTTGGCAATTGGACTGCTCCACATCCCTTGCTAAAGCAAGAAAAAAACATGAAAAAAATCAAGCTTGCTACCACTAGCTTTCGTGACAAGACATTGTTCAAACGCACTGCCTCTGCCTCGACTGGCTCAGGAGGGCCCTGCAATGAGCACAGGCAGAAAGCAAAATCCTGTGTGCAAAATTATGAAATCTGAATGTTTCATTGCTTCACTCTGACCATTTGCCGCATCAACACCTCCAGTGCATTGTGCTTCAGTGACACTCAGTGACAAAAAGTCTGGCAATGATGAGGGAGTAAAATGTCGTTGAACCATGTTGAACCATGTTGAACCCTTCCACTTCGCAACACAACTTTTGACTGCTTGGAAAGACCTTGTTCAAACACTGCACCTGCCTCGGCAACTTCAGAAAGTGGCAACACCTGCCGGAAGCCAAGCTCTAAGGATTTCAAGGTATGGCATTCAGAAATTCAATGTTTCAACATGTTTCAATGTTTCAACATGTTTCAATGATTTTCAATGATTTTCAATGTATGTTTCACTTGCACCAGGTGGCATGTTAAGGTTTCGGGTTCCTTTATGTTCAGCTGGAACTACTGGTTGATGATGGGCATGAGTTATGAGCAAAATACCATGGGGAAAGGTCCAAACTTGAGTCCTTGAGGGCTGGTAAACGAAAGGCCAAGAAAAAAGATGTGGGAGCGGAGAAGGCAGAGAAAGCCATGGGCGCTAGCAATGAGAAGGGAGATGTGAAGGGTAGCGTGGAGGAAGGTGGCAAGATGGTCAGAGCAAGGTGGAGTGGAGTGACTAAGTGGGAAGGAGTTGGGTGGATCGCTGGAAGAAATGAATCCATATCAAAGTGTGCATGACAAATTGCGGGTTTGGCACTTGGACTGCTCCACATCCCTTGCTAAAGCAAGAAAAAAACATGAAAAAAATCAAGCTTGCTACCACTAGCTTTCGTGACAAGACATTGTTCAAACCCACTGCCTCTGCATCGACTTGCTCAGGAGGGCCCTGCAATGAGCACAGGCAGAAAGCAAATCCTGTGGGCTAAATTATGAAATCTTAATGTTTCATTGCTTCACTGTGACCATTTGCCGCATCAACACCTCCAGTGCATTGTGATATTGTGACAGTCAGCGGCAACAACTGCGGCAATGATGAGGGAGCAAAATGTCGTTGAACCATGTTGAACCCTTCCAGTTCGCAACACAACTTTTGACTGCTTGGAAAGACCTTGTTCAAACACTGCACCTGCCTCGGCAACTTCAGAAAGTGGCAACACCTGCCGGAAGCCAAGCTCTAAGGATTCCAAGGTATGGCATTCAGAAATTCAATGTTTCAACATGTTTCAATGATTTTCAATGATTTTCAATGTATGTTTCACTTGCACCAGGTGGCATGTTTCGGGTTCCTTTATGTTCAGCTGGAACTACTGGTTGATAACGGGCATGAGTTATGAGCAAAATACCATGGGGGAAGGTCCAAAATTGAGTCCTTGAGGGTTGGTAAACAAAAGGCCAAGAAAAAAGATGTGGGAGCGGAGAAGGCATAGAAAGCCATGGGCGCTAGCAATGAGAAGGGAGATGCGAAGGGTAGTGTGGAGGAAGGTGGCAAGATGGTCAGAGCGAGGTGGAGTGGAGTGACTAAGTGGGAAGGAGTTGGGTGGATCGCTGGATGAAATGAATCCATATCAAAGTGTGCATGACAAATTGCGGGTTTGGCAATTGGACTGCTCCACATCCCTTGCTAAAGCAAGAAAAAAAAACATGAAAAAAATCAAGCTTGCTACCACCAGCTTTCGTGACAAGACATTGTTCAAACATGCTCAAACCCACTGCCTCTGCCTCGACTGGCTCAGGAGGGCCCTGCAATGAGCACAGGCAGAAAGCAAATCCTGTGGGCTAAATTATGAAATCTGAATGTTTCATTGCTTCACTCTGACCATTTGCCGCATCAACACCTCCAGTGCATTGTGCTTCAGTGACACTCAGTGACAAAAAGTCTGGCAATGATGAGGGAGTAAAATGTCGTTGAACCATGTTGAACCATGTTGAACCCTTCCACTTCGCAACACAACTTTTGACTGCTTGGAAAGACCTTGTTCAAACACTGCACCTGCCTCGGCAACTTCAGAAATTGGCAACACCTGCCGGAAGCCAAGCTCTAAGGATTTCAAGGTATGGCATTCAGAAATTCAATGTTTCAACATATTTCAACATGTTTCAATTTATGTTTCACTTGCACCAGATGGCATGTTAAGGTTTCGGGTTCCTTTATGTTCAGCTGGAACTACTGGTTGATGATGGGCATGAGTTATGAGCAAAATACCATGGGGAAAGGTCCAAAATTGAGTCCTTGAGGGTTGGTAAACAAAAGGCCAAGACAAAAGATGTGGGAGCGGAGAAGGCATAGAAAGCCATGGGCGCTAGCAATGAGAAGGGAGATGCGAAGGGTAGCGTGGAGGAAGGTGGCAAGATGGTCAGAGCAAGGTGGAGTGGAGTGACTAAGTGGGAAGGAGTTGGGTGGATCGCTGGAAGAAATGAATCCATATCAAAGTGTGCAGGACAAATTGCGGGTTTGGCACTTGGACTGCTCCACATCCCTTGCTAAAGCAAGAAAAAAACATGAAAAAAATCAAGCTTGCTACCACTAGCTTTCGTGACAAGACATTGTTCAAACCCACTGCCTCTGCCTCGACTGGCTCAGGAGGGCCCTGCAATGAGCACAGGCAGAAAGCAAATCCTGTGGGCTAAATTATGAAATCTTAATGTTTCATTGCTTCACTGTGACCATTTGCCGCATCAACACCTCCAGTGCATTGTGATATTGTGACAGTCAGCGGCAACAACTGCGGCAATGATAAGGGAGCAAAATGCCGTTGAACCATGTTGAACCCTTCCACTTCGCAACACAACTTTTGACTGCTTGGAAAGACCTTGTTCAAACACTGCACCTGCCTCGGCAACTTCAGAAAGTGGCAACACCTGCCGGAAGCCAAGCTCTAAGGATTTCAAGGTATGGCATTCAGAAATTCAATGTTTCAACATGTTTCAATGTTTCAACATGTTTCAATGATTTTCAATGATTTTCAATGTATGTTTCACTTGCACCAGGTGGCATGTTAAGGTTTCGGGTTCCTTTATGTTCAGCTGGAACTACTGGTTGATGATGGGCATGAGTTATGAGCAAAATACCATGGGGAAAGGTCCAAACTTGAGTCCTTGAGGGCTGGTAAACGAAAGGCCAAGAAAAAAGATGTGGGAGCGGAGAAGGCAGAGAAAGCCATGGGCGCTAGCAATGAGAAGGGAGATGTGAAGGGTAGCGTGGAGGAAGGTGGCAAGATGGTCAGAGCAAGGTGGAGTGGAGTGACTAAGTGGGAAGGAGTTGGGTGGATCGCTGGAAGAAATGAATCCATATCAAAGTGTGCATGACAAATTGCGGGTTTGGCACTTGGACTGCTCCACATCCCTTGCTAAAGCAAGAAAAAAACATGAAAAAATCAAGCTTGCTACCACTAGCTTTCGTGACAAGACATTGTTCAAACATGCTCAAACCCACTGCCTCTGCCTCGACTGGCTCAGGAGGGCCCTGCAATGAGCACAGGCAGAAAGCAAAATCCTGTGTGCTAAATTATGACATCTGAATGTTTCATTGCTTCACTCTGACCATTTCCCGCATCAACACCTCCAATGCATTGTGCTTCAGTGACACTCAGTGACAAAAACTCTGGCAATGATGAGGGAGTAAAATGTCGTTGAACCATGTTGAACCATGTTGAACCCTTCCACTTCGCAACACAACTTTTGACTGCTTGGAAAGACCTTGTTCAAACACTGCACCCGCCTCGGCAACTTCAGCCCCAGGTGACGCTTCAAATTCCGCCACCTGCAGAAAGAAAGAAAGTGCTTGAAGGATCCGAAGGTATTGCAATGCCAAAACTTGACATTTCGCGATGACCATGCACTGCATCAACGCCTACCAGGCCTACCACCTTTTTCGGGCAGTTTTTTTCAAATTTGTTTTGATGAGGATGAAACTCCCGCCACATGGTACTGGATGTACTGGTACTAGGCCACTTTGAGACCCAATCATGACTGATCCCAACAAGATCTTTCTCAAATCCACTCTCTCCCCGCCTCCGCCTTGATTACCGCAGGCTTCTTTGCTGAAGCTTGCAACGCATCAAAGTGCGCAATGGCCACCAGCATCCCCGATCCCGGCGTGTCCTCCTTCGGTTGATCCTTCATCTTCCTGCCCTCCGCCTCCAGTTCGGCCAGGTGTCGCTGCTGCAGCGCCTGGCTTTTGCCATCAACCATCCTCCATCCCAGGAGCCGCGGGTCATCCCGCGAGCGCGCGGTGACGGGGAATCTCATGCCGTACACCGACGCCGCCGTGGCTGAATCCATGGCAGCGATTCAGCTGGAGCGATGTCAACAATCAGCTGAGCCAAGGTGTCTCCAGGCGACTGAGGACAATGATGGACAATGTGATGAATCTGAGCCCATAGCCGCTATAGCCCATAGCCACAACCAAGCTATCATGTCGTAAGGATTCGTAAGGTATCTGCAGGATAAGAAATCAGAGGAAGTGTCAACTTGGAAGCTTGCAGCTCAGAACAGGCTCTGCCAAGAATTGGTTGGGGCCAAGTCAGGTGACAACAACATGCTGAAGTATCATGAAAATTCATGAAATATGTTGAATACTTGATATCGATGAGAGCGACTCAACAGCAATCTTCGGAGCTAAATGACCCAATCCACCCTTGGCCCGAACCTCGTATGTCTTGAACATTCTGACTGGGCGAGTCACACTTCATCCAAAACCATCCAAAACTGATATCACAGGTATCTCTTGGATTTGTTCGTCAAATTCCGGGAAAGCCCCCAAAAACGGTAGGCTTTCCAGGCCGGCCCTCTGCTGCGATTTTTCGGTTCAAAACGTCCCCCCGGTGTAGGGTATGGGATGGCTTGCCACAGCTTCTGCAAGTCATGGAATGATTCATAACATAGCTTTTCAACCCATACCCGGTATGGGTTGAAAAGCTATGTTATGAATCATTCCATGACTTGCAGAAGCTGTGGCAAGCCATCAAATCAATCGAGGCTGCAGCCAGTTAGCCGCAGCGTGCATTTGGGGTGCAGTGGGTCTACTTTACCCAGCGCCAGAAATTGGTCTGCGTGTAAAATACTTATGGTTCTTTATACACAATTGTACACAGCTAGCAATTACATTCCACTTGAAAAATACAAACATCTGCAAGATTCCTAGACATGATATTGTCTCATTGATGCGGGTGAAACTAAATTGCTAGGCGGCGGTCACTTTTGGCGCCTGGGGAACTATTACAAAAACAGTTCGCTCCTGTGAAGGTTTGTGGCGAATACACTATTTGCCATCACAACCGAACTGCATTCCGCCTTCCTCTGCCAGGCACAGCATGCGTTCTATGCAGTTTGTATACAGGTCTCAAATTTTCTCAAGCGGTGAGTCGCAGTTCACCCAAAACGGAGACATCAGGGTATCTCTTTGGATTGAAGATAACTCGTCCATGGCAGGTCACTGAGTATGACCGAGTCACAATTTGCAAAGTGAACATATTGAGTTGGTGAAAAAAAATGCCGTGACGATACTGGTCATATTCGGTCATACTGGTCACAATTCTCTTGGAGGTTGGAAACAAAATCCAGGTTTCACTACAGGATGGGCCCCCCCAGTTACAAGTTGGTTTATAA